GATGAGGAAAAATCAAAAAATAATTTTTCCACGGGATGATTGTTTCTCAACATATATATTGCTAGTTTTATTATTTTTATTTCAGGATTAACCAAAATACATTATTATTATTACATTGACTATATATAATCTCCATTAATTAAGTTTTGTTAAAAAAAATATATATATCTGTATATATAAGTATAAATTATTTTGTGAACAGTAAATGGCACGATCTACATACTAATTTGAGTAGGAGAGTTTACAAAGCTTTGTAGGTAAGTTTCATTGCTTACAACAAAGCAGAGTACGTGAGAAGAGACTCTGTCCATGTCAAAGCGGCCTTTTTGTATTATTATTATTATTATTATTATTATTATTATTATATACCCATTTATATATCCCCACATCAGCAAAGGCCACTAGCATTTCCCCTTCTTCAATGGCTGCACCCTCGCCGCCTCTCGCCGCCGCAGCCGGAGAAAAGAAACACTGGTGGCTCACCAATAAAAAGGTACCATTCCCTTTAATTACTCGCTCCATTTTCTCTTATTTTATCTTTTTCATTTAAATAATGTATTAATTAATCGACAATCCAAGCAGATGGTGGAGAAATACGTGCGGGAAGCGAGGACGCTCCTCGCCACACAGGATCACGGCGACGTAGCGGCGGCGCTGCGCCTTCTGGAAGCCGCCCTGGCCCTGTCGCCGCGCATGGAGGTGGCGCTGGAGCTGAAGGCCCACTCCCTGCTCCACCTCCGGCGGTTCGCCGAGGTGGCCAACATGCTCCAGGACTACATCCCTAGCCTCAAAATGGCCGTCACCTCTGACGACACGTCATCGTCTTCTTCCGGATCTTTTTCCGACACCTCCTCAAACCGCCTCCTCTCCGCCGGCGGTTCCGAGCCGGCGTTCAAATGCTTCTCCGTCTCCGATCTGAAAAGGAAGGTCGTGTCTGGTTTGTTCCCAAACGGCGAAAGGAAAGGTCAATGGAGGTAGGTGGTTGATTTTTCATTTTCCTTTTTTTGTTTTTGTTCTATTAATTAAAATTAGTTGGCACAGGAGCTTTGCTTACAGCGTACGCGAATTAAACACAGCTGGATACAATTTCCTCTGTTTACACATTTTTAGATTAGATGAAATTTAACCTAATTTAACTCTGATTGGGGATTTTTCAAAAAAAAATAAAAAAAAATACAGGTACTCAGTATTGGGCCAGGCATGCTGCCACCTAGGACTAATGGATGACGCCATGGTCCTCCTCCAGACCGGAAAACGCCTCGCCGCCGCCGCATCTCGCCGCAAAAGCGTCCACCTCTCCGACGACGCCTTCTCTCTGAACNCCACCCAACGCCCCCTCCCACCACCTCCTCTCCCACGTCAAGCTCCTCCTCCGCCGCCGCGCCGCCGCCTCCGCTGCCCTCGACGCCGGCCTCCACTCAGAAGCTATCCGCCATTTCTCCAAGATCCTCGACGGCCGCCGTGGCGCCCCTTACCCATTCCTCGCCGGATGCTACGTCCGCCGCGCCGCCGCCTACCAGTCGGCCGGCCGCCTGGCCGACGCCTTCGCCGACTGCAACCGCGCCCTGGCCCTCGACTCCTCCTCCACCGAAGCCCTCTCCGCCAGAGCCGCCCTGTTCGAGTCAATCCGGTGCCTGCCGGACAGCCTCCACGACCTCGAACACCTGAAGCTTCTCTACAACACAATCCTTCGCGACCGGAAGCTTCCTGGCCCCGCCTGGAGGCCGCCGGCCGTCCACTACCGGGAGATTCCGGGGAGGCTTTGCTCCCTTGCCGCCAAAATCCAGCAACTGAAGCAGAGAGTAGCTGCCGGAGAGAAAAGCAGTGACGTAGATTACCACGCGTTGATCGGAATCAGGAGAGGCTGCTCGAGGTCCGAACTCGAACGGGCCCACCTCCTTCTGACACTAAAGCACAAGCCGGAAAAATCTTCGGCTTTTATCGACAAGTCTGAGTTTGTGGACGAGAAGGACGTGGTTGAAATTCGGGACCGTGCGAAAATGTCGGCTTTGGTGTTGTACAGATTGCTTCAAAAGGGGTACCGCTGTGTGATGGCGGTGGTTTTGGAAGAAGAGGTGGCCGAAAAACAGAGGAAGAAAAGTGGCAATAGCAATGCTATTGCCACACCACCGGCATCGGTTTTTCAAGGAGCGTTTTGCAGGGAGCTAGCGGCGGTAGGGAATTTGCTTTCTCAATCGGGGTATAATTGTCCGATTATTCCGGTGAAGTATGAAGGGTTGAGTTGTTGATGATGGTTGGATTAATTAAGGGGTTAATTAAATTATTGATTATTAGGAGATGTTAATACACTTGTTGCTGTGGCATGTATAATTGGGGATGTGTTTAGTTCCACAGAAATTTTGTCCACTTTTTCTTTTGGTTTCTTTATTTGAATTTGGGTTCTATTTTGGTAGCTGTACAGATTTTATTTCGAGCTGAAATCAACCAGGAGTCATTTTCCATGAGGAAGCAAATGTTGTTAAGGGTTATAATCAGTTGTGTGTCGTTTTCTATCTGTTTGGTATGTGAGGGACTTGAAAGCCTCAAATTGGGAGGTTGAGAATTTATTGCCATTGCATTTGTTAAATTGCAGGCTTTGCAGAACAGAAGCAGCTACCTATAACAGACTTTGCCTTAAAGATTGGGCTTTTCGGGCATCTATATCATATATGTGAGGTGTAAATGAGTTTAACCAAGTAACAAAACAAACCAATAAATGAGCTCCAACTCAGTAGTTTATTAATATTAACCAGTTAAACTTAAACCTAATTTTAAATATTTAACATTAAAATTCCTATTTTTAAATCTAAACAAATTTTAAACTAGTTAGTTTAATAATTTGAACCTTAATGAGTTGAGTTCACAAACTATTAATTTTGTTTATGAGCTTTATCCACGTGGTTTCATTATCTTCATCTATAAAGACATGGTTTATTCAAGCAAACTGAAATTTATATTTATATCCTTTCTTCGAAAGATTAGGTTTAAATAACATTTTGGACTGAGGGAATATTTATTTTTAGCTTCAATACAAGTAATACTATGAATAAAGCTTATGATTGTACAAATAGGAGTGTCAGTTTGTCAGTTGTGGTATGGGATCTGGACCTCAGGATGGATGATGACCCGTAAATGTATCCACTGTAGAATGACCCGTATCGTGACAAAAATGTCTTATCACCAAGCAAGCACTCGATACAAGACCACCAAAATGCTAATTAATTGAGGGAGTGATTGTTTATGGATTCAACTAGTTTTTTTTTCGGTTTGTTTTTTAATTACAGTTAAATTTTAAAAAAAGTAGTATGGTTAGTTGTTAGTAAATATATTAAAATAATATTTAAATAAAATAATTAAAGTTGATTTAATGTAAAATATGAGAAAAATGATTGGAAATGATAGTTAGTTCAAATTATGTGAGTAGATAAATACTGAATTAAAGTTGATGTGATGTGTAAGAATATTGACTGATATTATTTAATTATATTGATAATATGAGAGACAATATTAAATTTGAGTTTTGATTGGTTTTTTCTTATAGCAGAAACAATAAACAAATGCCCCCTTAATAACTCAATCCCTAAATTTTCTTTTATTTTTACTTTCCACCCTTTGTTTTACAACTTTTACTCAGCCATCATTAAAGGCTGGCCTGCTTTTTCTAAAGTTCTTCTAATTCAGAGCATTATTTGATTAGAATACAATTATCCGAGCATCGAGTAATTAAAGAAGGCTTTTTTCTTTCTTCAATCAGGGTGAAAAAGACTAACTCAATTTTCCCCCATGGAGACTTGCTTGATTGAAGCTTAATGTGTCATCTTTTACATGATTAAGCCAACAGCAAATATGCTGAACTTTATTCTAATTACTATTATGATTTGTCGTTGGTAAAGATATATTTTGAAGATATGATTTTTTTTTTTGAAACGATAGATTTGTATTAATAAACACTGTATATAGAATAGAAAAGAATTAAAAATAGTTGCATAAATCAGTTAACTATTTAAGAAGGTCTACACAGAAGTAGCCTATAGTGGATAACACAAATAAACACAAACTAAACAAAAGCTATCTAACCCCACATGAGAGAATCTAACTCTGGCTCCGGAGAATCAAATACTCTAATAATGAAATATACAAATAAAAAGCAAATCACAAGAAAACACGAAATAAACACAAAAACACCCAATAAGTATAATAATCTCATCCCTTCTCTATACAGCTTGCCAATGCAACCGCCATTGCATACCAAAATCCCAAAACAACTTATGATGGGCAAGACCACAATTGAGACACCAAGATTTGAGAACTCCGAAACATCTCAACTGGCTAAACTAATCTGGCAATTGATGGAATCACCACAACTTTAGACTATCTCGAACCTTCTTTGCCCCTTCAACAAGCCAAGAGATTCCCGATCAACATCCACATACAAGAAGTAAATTGAAATGAGAAACCCTCGAGTCCGAGTTCAAAAGTTGAAATGAAGGAAAGACAGGCGGAGAAAGGTGAGGGCACGATGGAAACAACAGTTGTGCTGCTGTCGGAGACGAGAGGGTTGAGTGGTTTTGTTGTTTTTGAAGGCCTACACGGAAAGAAAAGGGATGAGAGGAGAGAAAGTGAAGTGAAAGAATCGAGAGTAACGGGTGCGGTCCCATGCACGTGAAGCTCACCATAAGAGGGTGAGCCTAAAAGTACCTGCTTCCATCTCAATTGGTAGTAGGACTATTTCTCTGTATAAATGATGTGGAACAACTCATAAGTGATATTCTAATACCGCCTCTCACTTGTTAGGTGAGCCTAGAAGCACCTTAGTGAGGTTCCATCCCAAAATCAATTGGTAGTAGGAGGAGCAGCTAGACTTATAAATTAGACCTATTTTTCCTGTATAAACGATGTGGGACAAATCACACGTGATATTCTAATATGAAGAAAGAAAGGGGTGTGGAATATTGAGTTCTTGATTTTCAGCTTGGAATTCGACATATTAAGTTGAAGATTGAGCTTGTTGCACAAAATTTTTCAAGTATGATTTGTGTAGATTATTTGATTCACAGAAAACTTATATATATATTTTTTTATAATTCTATCTCGTCTGAGGAAGTTAGATGCAACAGTAGGAAATATTGTTTTTACAAAAAGTGAGATAATGGCTATAAAAAAAGTAATAATTAAAATTAACGTGAACTAAAAATAATATAATATTGTTGATAATATTTGTAGTTAAAAATATGCGAGCATATAAATAGTGTATTGTATTAAAAAATTATATATTAATTATTACTTTTTTTAATTATAATTGTGTTGGGAAGATTTATAGAGAGAGAGAGAGAGTGATGTAATGAACAATATTTTTCGCGGAAATATTATGCTTCACGTTAAGTTTTCAATAGTTTGGTTCANACCAACTGCTAAGAGAAAAAATGTTTGCCTATAAGGCTATTAACTCTTGTGATCAAATATGTATATCAATCATGATGGGGATTATAATTCTTCAAATAGTTTATGTAAAGCAAATACCTCCAAGAAACATAACAAGGGTGAATTTCACTCTACTCGTGTACAATGTCTTTACGGGAGTTTTGACCATCAAATCAATATCTATATATATATAATTGCTAGCAAGTTTCCAACAATTAATAAAAATAGAATTTTATTTAATAAAAATTTTTATGACAATAAATTTTATTCAGTCAGCAATTAATAAAAATATGACTTCATTTAAATAAAAATCTTTATTACAACATTCAAATGACAGTTACACAAGTAAAATCTTATTATTATTAATTTTTTTATTCTGTAACAGTTTTACAAGATTTTAAATTTTCTGAATATACAATATGAAATTATTTTACAGTTAATATTCCTATTATGTTTTATAGTTATAAAAAGAAATTGATTTATATGAGTGTTAAATAATTAATATTTATATTATATATTTACATACTCAAAATTGTAATATGTAATACACACTTTATCTAATTTAAATTTTTAAATATTATATACGTACATATAATATATAATTTTTTTTTCTCTATGCATGTGCACAAGATACTAGTATATTCATATGACTGTGTGTGAATATGAGTCATCATACTGTTAAAACCTCTATTTTGACAGTCAAATTAATAGCTCCCAATACAATTGTATGTGAATATGTGTAATCATACGAATAAAACCTCAATTGGGCAAGATAGAATGGAACTTAGGCCCACCAAGATTCCCTCATCAATTTTTAGTTTTTACGTGATTGTAGACAATATATAGGCTAATAGGCCTAATATCATGGCCACATCAATTATACTAACTCCAATTTTCATCCTTTTTATGTCACAAGAATAAATTTACAAAAATGGCACAGCTTTGTGAGTAATACGTGCTGCTAATTCTAATTAACATTTGTGACTTGACTTGAAAGTGAGACCGATTTCTAATTGGCTATATTTTTGTTAAGGTGGTCGGGCTCTCTTCAACTTCACTTACACACTAATCAACAAATCGATGATTCTCCAGTGTTAGTGGAGAATAATTGAAAGCGGGCCCATCTTCTCTTGTCTGCCTATGAAACCATGTGATAAAAAAACAGGGGAATACTAATGTACAACTATATTTTTATCCATCTATTATGTGTCAGACTCTCTTACATTACAAAAAAATTGTTATATTGCAACGAAAAATTATATGGTAATTTATTCCAATAAAAATTTCAACGGATATTCTAATGGTATAGTTTCTGTTGCAATGATTCCAACGAAAATATTCCATTGAAATGTGTTTTCCGTTGAAATTTTAGATAGAATTTGATGTTTCCAACGGCTTTTACTGTAGGAATTTTCGTTGGAATATGCAATTTCTGTTGAAATTTTTATTTCCACCCCCGTTGAAAAATCTAACGTTGGAATTGTCAAAATTCAACAGGAATTCCAATAGAAAACTCATTCCATCAGAATAGTTTTATTGGAATTTCTGTTGGAAAATCCAACGGAAATAAGAGCATTGAAAAATACCAATTGGAATTGTCGTAATTTTATTTGAATATATTTTCGTTGAAATTTCATCATTTTCCTTATAGTGTTAATCATTAGACTCATATATATTTTAAAAAATATATGTACTTCTTTTCAAATATATTATATTTCAATAAACAACATAAATAGAATTATTACAAGTATTCNTGATATATCAATGCTCCAGACACAGTCAAAGAGTCCAACTTTGGTCAAAGGGGCGGTGACATTGTTGTAATTAT